ACTTACAAATATGAAGCATTGTAAGACATTTGTGATCTAAAATGCAAACTTTAAGAATGGATCACTGTAGCTCAAAAACAAAAATATTATGTTGTTTCTAATTATTGCTTATACTAATTCTGCAAATAGAGTATTTTGATAGTTGATACTTATCATCTGATATGTGCCCTCGAGTAGGTAGTAGCTTATAGTTGACCCTCGAGAGATGTAGTTGAGGTAATAAATTGCCCAGTAGGAGACTGCTCTTCTTTCTCCCCAGAAGCTGGTGAATTCAAGACACGTGCCTTTGGGTTGGCAGCCTCCTAGTAGACCTCCACAGCTCCCTGCAAAGCTCCCTTTGTCATGTGCTATAGAGCTCCCTGCAAAGCTCCCTGTTGTCATGTGCTATTGAGTCAGAACTCACCCATAACTGACCCTTCAGTGGGTTTTCAGAAGCAATAACTTGCACAAAAGGAAACTATGCTTATCCTTCTGCAGAGCAGCTGGTGGATTTGAACCCAGTGCCTTTGAAATTGCAGCACACTTTCTTATCACTGGGTCACCAGAATTCCCTCAAGAGCTGCCTATTGTCCCTTATTGTTAAATTCATTGTCCCTCATTTAATTTTCCATTATTCAAAGAAAAGAAAACAAACAACACAGCAGCATCTTAGTGTAATTTTGCTATAAGAATTCTTAAGTGTAAATTCATGCTAAGAGTGAATAATGATGTATCTCACCTCATTTTAATTTCAGTAATTGAGAGGGAAAACAGAAAAGATCTATTAGAATGACTGTGTGCTGGTCAAACACTAATGAGAAAATCTCTGACTCACTGGGTGCCATAGTAACAGGGTATTACAGAAATCTGATTAGTATGCCCAGCGGCTGCATGAGTGATGGGCTGCACTTCTAATTGTGTTGTCTCTGTTTGCAGGAGGGGCTTTTGTTCCTAAAAGGTGAGAGAATGGCACAGCTATGTTTTCTCTTCACCGAATATGGAATCTATTACATACCCAAGCATTTAGTCGAACATCTGGTAATAAAGGGAAATCGTATTTTGGAAGGTTTTTCTGAAATAAAAGTTAGCTTTTGCTACCTTTAACTTACAAATTTCCCAGTAATTTATTTTTCACTATAATTCTACTTACAAAAATGCCAAGCATAAGACAAAATTAGCTAAAAATATTTGTTAAAAGTGGTTTATAAAATCACAAAATTAAATCAATACTTTTCCAAAGAACAAAACTGTTATTATTTATCTTTATATATGAGAATACTAACTTATACACATCAACATATAATAACCTAATATATATTTGAGGGGAGCTCTAGTGGCAAACAGGTAGCTAGCCTCCTCACACGCACAGTGTGGGGAACCCACGGAGTCACACAAGATGGGATCTGAGAGCTCTCTCTAATCTCCTTGATCAGGTAACACCTTTCTCCCAGAAGGGTGTCAGCTACCTTACAAAACCTTGGAAAGAGACTTTATATTTAAATGTTGGATGTTATAATATTTTGGAGGAACATTCTTCGTAGTGGAACAGCACTCTTCTGTCAGTATGCTGTACTGAGATAACCTGGGGATCCTGTGATGCTGAACCTTGTGCCATTGGGGTGTCAAAGCGGTTACCCATGGTGGACAGTGTTTGGTGGAACTCCCAGTTTAACACAGGTTTGGAAGAAGGTATGGCATCCATTTCCTAAACAATATGTCTCTGGAAACTTTATGAACTTTGATAAATGTTGTTAGTTATAGAATGGCTTCAGGCCTTCAGTTCATAGGGTCACTATGAGTCGTGCTCAACTCAAAGGCAATAAACGACAACAACAATTAGTGGCATGTTGTTGTCATTGTTGTTATGTGTCGTCGAGTCACCTGTGACTCACAATGACCCTATATGCAACAGCCCTAAACCCTGCTCTATTCTGTGCCAATCTTACCATCTCTGACACACCTGCCCCATTACCCCAGTCACTGAATCAATCCATCTCATCGAGGGTCTTCCTCTCCTACACTGTCCCTCCAGCCTCCTAAGCATGATGTCCTTCTCCAAGGACTGGTCCCTCCTTGCAACATGTCCAAAGTATGTCAAATGAAGCTTCACAATACTTGCCTCCAAGGAGCAGTCCGGCTTTACCTTCTCCAGGACAAACCTGTGCTTTTTCTTAGCAGTCCATGTTATAGTCAATACTGTTCTCCTACACCACAGCTCAAAGGCATCAACTCTCCTTCTGTCATCCCTAGTCATTTTCCAGCTCTCTGATGCATAGCAAGTGATTGTAAAGACCATGACATGTATTAGGCCCACCTTAGTCTTCAGACTGACAGCTTTGCACTTCAGCACTTTGAAGAGGTCTCTAACCACAGACTTTCCCATCGCAATAAATCTTTTAATTTCCTGGCTGCTGGTGCCAAGAGTGTTGACTGTGGAGCCAAGCAAACTAAAGCTGTGAAAAATCTCAAGCTCTTCAGCATTCATTATTATGCTGCCTTCCAATCAGCCCAGTGGTGAGAATTGATATTGAGTCTCATTCCATACTGAAGACTGCAGTCCCTGACCTTCCACAGCAAGTGCTTCAGGTTCTCTTCAGTTTCAGCATAATACAGATTGTTGAGGATTCTTCCACCAATCCTGATGCCACATTTCTCCTCATAGAGCCCAGCCTCCCGGATAACCTGTTCTACATAAAGATTGAAAAGTTATAGAGATAGGATACAGCACTGGCATACACTCTTCCCAATTTTGAACCATGCAGTGTTTCCTTGCTCTGTTCTAACGACTACCTCCTGGCCCAAGTATAGGTTTTGCATTAGCACAATCAAGTGTTCTGAGATTCCCGTTCTTCTCAGAGTTAACCACAGTTTGTTATGATCCACACGGTCAAATGCCTTTGCATAGTCAATGAAACAAAGATAGATATTCTTCTGGTACTTCTTGCTTTCAGCCAAGATCCGTTTAACATTAGCTATAATATCCTTATTACCATGACCCCTCTAAGCCCAGTCTACACTTTTGGTAGTTCTCTGTTATGTGCTGTTCCAGTTGTTTTTGGATAATCTTCAGCAAAATCTTGTTTGTGTGTGAAATCAGTGATATTGTTCTATAGTTTCCACACTCTAGGATCACCAACTAGTGACATAGGGGTAAGGAATTGCACTGTAAACTGAAAGGTATGCAGTTTAAATCCAACAGCTGCTCCACAGAAGAAAGATGGGCAATCTCCTCCTGTACAATTTGTTGTTTCTGAAAATGTGCTATAGGGTCATCTAATGGTTGATTCTGATCAGACCGTACAAATGAGAACAACCGTGTGTGTGTGTGTGTGTGTGTGTGTGTGTGTGTGTGTGTGTGTGTATATATATATATATATATATATATATATATATGACAAGAACAGCTTTGTAGCCCAATCACAACATATAAATAACTTACAAAATAACTTAAAAAAATAGGAAGAAGTCATAGATAGTGAAATGCAGGCCATACAAAAGATATGATGGGGGAAAAGAAAGAGGAGGGTAATGGGATAAAAGACCCTAGGAAAGACTGGTGTGAACCCAAACCTTACAGCAAGTAAGTTATTTTCATTTTATTTGATGACATACTTATTCCTGAGCCATAAGTTTTTATTTCTTCAGTGTCTTCTGGGAGATCTTTTCCTTCTGGGCAACCTCCTCTTCTGGTTTAGGAACAATCTGCTCCTTCTCAGTAAGGATCATCTCAATAAATATGGCAGGGGGAGCTCATGTAAGGGTAATCTGACCATGAGCTCTATACATGCGGTGGCACACCTTGGGAGCTTCGTTCGCCTGGATGTGCTCAATGATCAGAGAATAGACTTCTAAACCTTTAATTTCCTCATTGCTCTCTGCATTTTTAAGCATATGATGCAAACACTCAGTACTCTTTTTGGGCCACCGACCCTGTGCCCAACCCCATTGAATGACCTGAGCATACCTACCAGCTCCACCATTGTATCGTAGGAAGGGCACACACTGCTTTGTCAAAGTGACATCTTGGTTTATTAATATAGGAAGACAGCTTGACCTGGAAACTGTCTTCCTAGCTGCTTAATAAACCTTTTTCACTTGTTTTGGAAAAAAGGGGGGGGGGAGTTCTGCTATTTCTCTTTGCTTTGCTTTCTTGATTAAATTCCCAAGATTCAGAATCCAAAGACATTCGCTGAGTGTGCTATGAGTAAACAGCATAGGACATATATTTTTGTGTCGTAATGTAAAAGCTTACACATTACACAAGAACAATGAGTTTCCAAAAATGCTTACAACACAGATTATCAGGAAAATCCACATTCAGGAATATATCCAGGGGTAAATATAATGACGAACAGGAGATCACAGGACTAAGTAGAAGCTGACCAGAAGGAACAGTGCTTTCTGTCCAGCAGAAAGAACTTATCTGTGTTCGTAACAACACTTTTCCTTCTGGATCCTTGGTCTTTGGGGGAAAACAATTCAATAACTTAAAAAAAAATCATTGAGCTTCAATGTTTTCAGTATTGCTTTGTTCCTTTTAATATCTTGAGTGTCACAGAATTTTATAAAAAAAAAAAGATGGGGTTGCAAAAGAAAATTGATCCCTACCTTCTGATCCTTTTTGGAAGATAACTTAATTCTAAAAGGAAAACCTGCAATATTAACAGAGGCAAAGTAAACACCCGCATGCATTATTGACTAGAAATCTGTGTTCCTTGTCAGGGCTTGTGAGCACAAGGAACATTAATAAGGCTTGTCCCAGGAAGCTTATTACTCTTGTTAAATGCATCAGCATGTGGACTAAGTTTTACATGTACCAAATATCAAAAGCAATCAATCTTAAGTCAATATAATGAAAACCAAAAGGCACATTTATCTACATGTTTAGGAATTCAGGAGAGGCTGTGGTGGTGCAGAGAGGACTTCCTCAAAGCCAGCTGTGAGCGAGAAGCAGAGAAAATAAATAGGTTCCCCCACCCCACCCCAAGGGAGTAGGCTGGAGCTGCTAGGTGTGTACTGACCTGGGATGGAAGCAGCAGTCTGAAAGCCATTCTGTGTGTCCAGATCCTATGACAAGCACTGTGCCTTCGGGAAGGCCCACTAACTTCCACAAGCGGTCTTCACTACAGGAGACTAAGATTTCTTTGTTCGGATGCATAACGATGCTGCATAGAAAGAAATAAGACAGACTTATGAGGAGTAATAGTTTATAGCTTTAGTGCGATGAAATGACAACAATTATCCCCATTTAGCAAGGTAGGGTGGTTAACAGAGGTTGGCTCAGAAATCAGTGGTATTATGTTCTATCTCTTTTTTTTATATAGAAATGTACCATTTTATTATAAAGATTCCCATAAACATGAAAATAGTATCTGAAAAAAGGAAACTAGACTATCAAACTCCACCTGCAGAACTGGGGTAGAACAGGGGGCAGGTAGTGAGTTCCTTGGCTCACCAATCTAAAGTGGTTGAAAAGAACTAGGAATCCCTGAGGGCCCAGCACCCCCATCCTAGGATGTGCACGTCAGGATTCTGTCCTGTATCTTGTTTAAAAGACAGCAGCTACAGTGCACCTAGCAGAGCTGCCCTGGGCTGGGCTCAGGGACCTTGTTCTGGTCTAGTACCTGGGGATATTTATATTTAACATACTTTTATATAAATATACAGAGAAATAGAAAATATAAACTCTTAAGGGGCTGGGGAGAAACATGGGGAACTTTGCAAGAAGCCAGAACTAGCAAGGTCTGCTCAGGTTACTTGACCTCCTCCTTGACCCCTTTGGCTTCAGGCTTCTCCTCCTTGGTTTCTATCTCTTGGCAATAGCTTTAACTTTGACTTCCATCAATCTAATTGACTTCTCTCGACTCACTTGTGAAATGTTGTGGTTGGGCTATAAAGCTGTTCTTATCTAATTCAGACTTGATTAAAATAGTTTAGAAAAGAAAAAAGTTATGTCTGTGACAATTTTCCTATTAGGATATTTGTACCAGTGGCTATGCGTATTGTAGAAAATCAGAACTTTTTTCAGACCAAAGTAAGTCTTAAACCAACCATTGTCCAAGAAAGAAACATGAATCATAACCGTATTATCACAGCTCTATAATAAATACTATAAATGAGACATTAACTCCGTGGCCTACTATCTACACAAAGCAAAGGAGCTCAAATTCTGTGTTAATATACCATCTAAATTGGCTTCAGTCAATGCACAGTACACAAATTACGATAATGAATTCAGGATGCATAAGGCAATTCCCACTCTATAAAGACATAGAGGAAAATGAGAAAGAAGTAGGTAAAATTAATGTTTAGCACATTAAGTCCTATTATTTGAACCAGATGATGATTATTTTGGCTATTTAAATACTGGAGCTAAACTATTATAAAATCAAAATTCTACAAGGTTAATGTCTGATATGTTATCTATGGTAATGCTTTAATCTTATTTATAAAGCTTCCTTTGTGCCTGAAGATGTAATGGGGACAAATGTGTCTAGTGTTAAGCACTTATTAAAATAGTCTACATATTAGCAATAAATCATTCAATTTTCAATCAGGCTATTTTAATTCAGAGATACTATATGCACTTTCCTAGTCAATGAAGTAAAGCAACTACAAAACTAGAAAGTGAATGCTTATTTATCACACAGTCTATTATTCTAATAGCCTTAATACTTTCTTCTGCAATGTGGGTATGAGCTGATTGGATTTGGCCTTGTATTTAAAAAGGCTTTTGGCTATCAGTCTGGGGCTATTTCCAGGATGGGAAGATGAGCAGAACAGCTGGCTTCTGCGAAGATGAAGGTACGTTTTCTGGTTTGGGGTTGAGACTAGGCTGTAGCTATTGGTCACAATAGGGTGTGTGCTGATTGGATTTGGCCTCATATTTAAAAAGGCTTTTTGTGGATATCCCAAATAAAACAGGCTTGAAAGCAGGACTGGCATCCACTTAAAAAAAAAAAAAAGCTTGCCTCTGGAAACCCTATGAATTTGGAAAAAGATGAAAATTTTGTGTTCAAGACTGGTTCATAGGGCCACTATGGGTCGTCTACGACACTGTAGCACTTAACAACAACAACAAAGAAGTTATGTTCCTACACATATTTGCAACTCCAAAACCTATATGACAATTAATTTTTCTCATTATTTATTTATTCCATTAATACTACTGACATCCAACATCACAAACTTTTAAAAAATTGTTCTGTTGCTTTAGAATATACACTTTTGGAAATTAGTTGGGATAAGTCTTGGAGGTAGTCAGCTCACAGCCACATAGCACTAGGATCAGGGTCTTGTTTCTAGTGAAACATTGTCTTATTTAGTCCAAGCACATTGCTACTTAGAATAAGCATATAGTGGAAGGGAAATTATTCATTTTGTAATTCATCATAATGTTGGTTTGTGACTTTCAGAAGGCCAATTCAGGGAAGGAATTTATTACAGCTCAAACTGGGTAGAGGATGCATTTATAGAACTTAATTAGAAGAAAAATATGAGGAGAGGTAAAAAATGGCATATTGAAATGAATTCTATATTCAAATACACACAAGAAGGCAAACCAAATCCTAGAAGCTATTGAGTATGATGTATGTTGCCTCACAGCTTTCCTGGCAGACACATACACACTTGACTAGATGATAAATTACCCTCTTTAAGTGAAGATAACTGAAATCATTGATGTCTTTACGAACTTTGAAGGATAACTTTCCAAAATGACTTTTGTGAAGGGAGCTATCTGTAGAAGTTAAGAATTATAAACATAAAATCCAACAGTGACTACTCAGCTTTCTGTTTTTCCGACACTCTTCTTATCCTCCTCCCCGTGGACCTCCTCCATACCACCTGCAACAGCTTCTCCTCTCTCAACTGGTCCTCATCATTATATTCTTTTTGTTCCCAGCCCTTATGTTTCCTAACACTGGCTATTTTTTTTAAATATCTCTATCATCTCTAAATTGCTTTGTTTTGTCTAATACTTCTACGCAAATTTCAATCAGGAAGCAATATTCTTCTCTTCAAAGAATAGCTCACTAACCCCATCCACAAAATGGACTTTGTGAGAGATACAGTTTTTAGCAGATGTAGAATAGAATTTAAAACCTTCATAGCAATCTATTGATAAAGAAACTGTTACTGAGTTATTCCCTGAACAAGAACCCCATTAAAGACTGAATCACTGTGATAAATATCCATACTCAAGAGTTGCATTTTCTAGCTCAGATCAACCTATGTGGGATATGATTAAGATGAGGGACATAGATAAAAGATCCCAGACCAGAAATATTTCGCTACATAGAGCCGTTTAGCGTTATTACCAATTCCATAATGAGACACTGGCATTTGTAACCATTATCATCACCAAAAATCACTGGTAAGAATAGCTAACATTGTTGGAATACAAAATGTAAGTCCAATTTTTCACTAAATGCTTGATTCTCTGAAGTGGAAAACCATCTGAAGGTAGGGAATGAATGTGTATTTTATTTATTGATACATCATTGACATTTATACTTAATAATTTATAACTAAATAATAACTGACTTATAGTAGTTATTAAAGGCTTGTCTATATCATTGAACTATGGCAATGCTATTGTTTTTGCTGTTGTTAGGTGTTGTTGAGTCAACTCAGATAAACTTGAACAATGAATTTGAGCTCTTCCCTATCCTGTGCCATCATCCCCATCTCTGATATACTTGAAAACAATGTTAATTTCCTGTGTTGATACATCATATTGAAGGTCTTCTTTTCTTTCACTGACCCTGCTCTTAACTAAGCATGATGTCCTTTTCCATAGATAGACCCTCCTAAAAACATGTGCCAAATATGTGAGACAAATCTTCACCATCCTTGCCATCATCAATAAACCTGGTTACACTGTCTCCAAAATATATTTGTTTATAATTTTGATAGTCTAGGAAATATTCAGGACTCATTTCAAACACTAAAACTCAAAGGCATCTATTCTTGTGCCATCTTTATTCATTGTCCAACTTTCAGAAGAATAACATGTGATTGAAAGCCCATGGCTTGAATTAGACGCACTTTTATTCTTTAAAATTAGACCATTGCTTCTTAACACCTTAGAGAAGTACTTGACCGTGGATTTACCCAATGTGATATGTATTTTGATTTCTTGACTGCTGGTGCCAAGAATATTAATTGTGAGTACCAGAAAGATGAAATGAGTGACAACTTTAGGATTATCTCCACCTATCATGATGTTGTCCTCTGGCTCAGTGGTAAAGATATTTGTCTCCTATGTTTTAGTGTTACTATTTATGATAAGGCAGAGTTGAGATATTAAGTAAATTATATAAGCTCTGTTTGAGTTTGGATGCAAGACTTATTAGCACTGAAACTGACAATGTTAACTACTCTCTCCCAATGTCAATATTTTAAAGCTTATTACTTATGTGTACATATTATAAGTATCAATAATTTTTTCTCTAGAGTTTAGGGATAATCGTGGTTATTCTCAGAAAATGGTTACATTAAATTCATTTCCATCAAGTTGAATTAACTCACAGCTGACACAGTTCAGCAGGTTTTCTGAGGCTGTAAATTTCAGGGAAGACATGGCCCATTTTTCTCCCACAGAGCAGCTGGTAGATTTGAACTGCTTGTCTGTGGGTTTACAGTGCAACTCCTTATTCACTAGGCTACCAGAACTCTCCTAAGACATTCATTGGTCATTAAGTCTTGAGTTAAAGAATACTACTAGGTATTGTCAGTGTATATATCAAAGTTAACTATGTGTGAGATAGCAGTTTTAAGGAACCTAAATTTCTACAATTGAGATGGTTTGGTATTATAGGGGAAATCAGATAACCAGTGTCCTTCCTACAATCCTGTCTTTATATTGTTTTTTTGCTAGTATATTTAACACATCCTACCAAAGTTTTTTCTTAGTGAAAACTTGTACTATAAGCTATGAAAGGGCAATGATTTAATATACATCTTTTTTTGCATACTTTATAGATAAGTAAAATACTTACTAACTGTAAATTATCATTCCTCATAGGTAGGGTTTTGTTTTGTTTTTTTTAGTGATTGAAAATTTTCAGTGTAACTAGTACCCCATCTCTCCTTTAATCAATGTACTTATTGCTGAACCAGTTATTTGAATAAGGGAAAAAAGAGTAGCAACTAATACTTTCAA